TAATGGATTCATCATTAGAATGTTTCCCCTTTCTTGACTGTAAATATCATTCAATCCTATAAGGAATTGAATGAGCCTTTCGTCCTCCAAAGACTTCTCCAAGTTTTGTTTACCATCACAAACACAAGTCATATGCAATTGATATCACAGTTTAGTGAATCTAGTTCATCCCATAATCGTTTTAGTTTGGTAAAATAACCTGCTATGTCACTCGTAGCTTGCACTAACCTAGAGAGCTCCTTGCGCAGGTGATATAATTTGGCACCATTTGACTTCCCAAACCTGTGCTCCAAACTAATCCAGTGATCTTTGGCAGACTATGAATAAATGACACTATCACCAATATCCTTTGATAGTGAGTTTAATAACCAAGAAGTTACCGTATCATTGGCTCTACTCTATGGCTGGTAGTCCTTTGATGTGGCAGTACGAGCAGGACATGTTCTATTAATGAATCCCAGATTATTCTTTGTTGAGAGAGCAATAAGAATAGATTTCCTCCAACCTTGAAAGCCTCTTCCATCAAAAGCTGAATTGACTAGAGTTATACCAGGTGCATCTGAAGAATGAAGAAAATATGGGTGATTTGGATCAAAATTGACACCATTTCTAGGAGCAGATTGAACAACAGATGTATCTGCAGTATCAGGCATGGTGAAATGTGATCCTTAGAGAAAGAAAATTGAAGAAAAGAAGGTTGACTTGCCTAGAATCGAGCTATTGCTCTGATACCATAAAGACTTGTAAAATGAGAAACTAGGAGAATTTTCTGTGTTCTAATTTCTGTACAAGACGATGTATTTATACAATATTGAGCTATGTAAAAAAACAAAAAGAATAATTAAATCCTATACATCTGTCTAAATTCTATTTGCTATGAAATAACAGACTAACTATATTTTATTCTTTTCTATCTCATATACACGTTTTATAATATTGAAATCCAATACAGTACAATTGTCTATCTGATAATCTGGAGGGTCCTTATTTAATCCATCAGAAATTCGTTCAAGGGCTGAGATCGAACCACGTGTCAAAGTCAAATATCTAGATACATCTCTTGACTGAGATAACTGTCACGACCCAAAATCTAACTAGTCGTGATGACACCTAACCCAACTCGCTAGATAAGCCAATTAACAATTATCTAATTCCAATAAAATTTAATAAGACAATTAAGTAAAAGAAAATATCTGAATCGTATACACTCCCCAAGGACTGGTAGTACAAATCATAAGTTTCTAATATTAGAATTTACAAAGTTGGTATGAAATAAATACATCATCTGTTCGAAATGTACAAAAACAGATTTTTATGAATCTAAGGCTACCATGAACAAGAGGTAGCAACAACCGAAATGCAGGTACGTCATCAATTCCAACTCCCATTGAACACAACAATATCAACATCTAACATCTGCATGTAAGGTGCAGAAGTGTAGTATGAGTACAACCAATCCCATGTATTCAATAAGTAACAAATCTAACCTTAGGTTGAAAGTAGTGACGAGTTGGAATATAGGTTGGAGTCCAACACCAATAGACAACAACAGTTTATAATAACATAATGAAAGTAATAAAAGAAGTAACTCAGAGATAAATGCTCAACTCGTTCACAGTTCCAGAAAAATAGTTCTGCTTTTCAAGTATAGCAGTGAAAACCAAATCTTTTACCGAAATCGCTAAAAATATGAGCAAGTATGAAAACTGTAATTTTTCCCAAAGCTTTCAACAGAAAAATGTTTCATTTTCAAATGGCATGAGGAAAATACATCTCTATGCCTATATGTCAAATGTTTGAGAAGTCATGAATGTCGTGAGACTGTACAGCATGAGAAAAAATGCATATATATGCATGTATGCCAAGTGTGCATGTCAAATGCAATGTATCTTAGAGGTGAACTCATGTACTCACACTCTCAGAGTACTCAATCTCATTGTCTCACACTTTCACTCATCATGCTCAACTATTCGACATGCTCAGTCACTCAGTACTGTATATGGCCAATCCAGCCTAGGGAAGATCCATCCCGAATATATACATAGCAACTGACAGTCAGTCACTTAGTAGTATAAGGCCAATGCAGCCCGGGGAAGATCCATCCTAATTATGAATGCTTCGGGCAAGATCTATGTCCAAGAAAGATCCATCCCTCAATATAAATCAACCGTGCTCACTAGGGGTGTGTACAGACTCCAGAGGTGCTCCTTCAGTCCAAGAACCATAATAAGCCAAATCTAGGCATAAACCAATATAAAATGTTGCGGCGTGCAGCCCGATCCCATAATATCACTCACACTCAGGACCTCGGCCTCACTCAGTCATTAATCTCTCCAGTCTCTCGGGCTCACAGTACCATGAAACTAGCCTAAACTGATGATATGATGTGTCAATAAATAGCAACAGAGACTGAGATATGATATGAAATGAATGAACATGACTGAGTATGAAATTACAGTTTAAACAAATAATTTAAAAACAATATGACCTAGGTAGGTCCCAATAGAATAAGCATGTAGCCTAGACATGGTTTCTAACATGGATCACAACTCAATAACTCTAGTACGTAGAGATTTCATGGTTACAGATAAGATCATACAACTATACAGTACCACAGGAATAACAGAGTCACAATTCATACGGTGCACACATGCTCGTCACTAGCATGTGCATCTCCTCAACACCAAACATATAATATGTAATTCGGGGATTCATACCCTCAGCACCAAGTTTAGAAGTGTTACTTACCTCGAACAAGCCAAATCCATTACCCATCAAGCCAAATGATGCTCCAAAAGTGCCATCCCGCACGTACCGACCTCCGAACGGCTCAAAACTAGCCAAAAGAAACTAAAATATATAAAATAATTCCAAAGAAAACAAACCCAATTGATAAGGTCGAATCTGTAATCCAAATCCTAAAATCGACCAAAAATTCAAACCAGGCTCGTGCCTCGGTACCCGATAAAACTCACAAAATCCGATAACCCATTTAATTATGAGTCCAACCATACAAGTGTCACTTAAATTCGACTCCGAATCGATGTTCAAAACTCAAAAAATTACTTATTAAATTTTAGATAAAACCCCCAAATTTCACTTTGAAATCATCAATCAAATGCCAAAAACAAAGATGGATTCATGAAATACAATCAAAATCGAGTATAGAACACTTACCAAATCCATATGGTGAAAATTGCCTCCAAAACTTGTCCAAATCCGAGCTCTCCAACTCAAAAATATGACTAAATGATCAAACCTTCGATATTAAGTATTTTTGTCCAGCTGTTCTACCTTGTTTTGTGTGCCAAACAATCTTGAAACTCGTTTTTGATGCCTCCAATATATTTCTTGTGAAATTTCAGTCAAGTTAGGCTTTTGAATCACTCCATTTGACCTTATAATGAAGGAGATATGTTGGTTTCAATATTTGAAAATAGTGCAAATTTTTAAATACGACGTTAATGACAATTTCGTAATTAATCTGAAAAATCTGACAACACAATTCTTAGTAATATGACCATAAAATCCTTATACGATGTCCAAATTTGATGATACTTTTTGCTATTGCTCCGTCTTTACGATACGGATATAATGCTTCAATAAAAATAAAAATCGGAGCTCATCTGTTTTATGTGGTATCACTTATGCTTGAAGAAACGACGTCGAAACATAAGAAAATCGAGCGCAACACAACCCAAACCTATTCGAGACTCACCCGAGCCCTTCGGGACCCCATACGAACATACCAAAAAGTTCCATAACATAACACAAACCTACTCGAGGCCTCAAATCATGCATAACAGTATTGAAACGATGAAACGCACCTCATATCAAACTTAATGAACTTTCGACTTTCAAAAACTCGCACCGAAACATATCAAATCAACTTGGAATGAACTCAAATTTTGCACACAAGTCCTAATACATCATACGGAGCTACGCGTACCCCCAAACTACCGAGCGAAGTGCAAATGCTCAAAATGACCGATCAGGTCGTTGTAATAACTCCAAAGAGTTGTCTTGTTTTGTCTGAAACCCTATAGATGACTTTGATATCTTTCCTTCTTCACCTAGCCTCTGTATTTCTTCTCTTGAACAAATTGAATCATGGGGTTTCTTCTCAACAACAATTCACTGTTGTGTTTCTTCCAATATTACTAATGAGTATCGTATCTTTCAAGTTGGATATATCTTTATGTAGCAGCAACAATTCCAGTGACAATGTCCAAAACCATGAGATTAGGTCAAATTGAGTAATTTGCTATTTGAAATAGAGGCTATTTACTAAACAAATAGGAAAAATAATATTTTTGTATGTTAGTTAAGCGTCAATAAGTCAGAAAAACTACAAATATATATATATATATATCCTCGGAAGCAATGGTAGTTTTTGTGCAGTTCAATTTCGCCTAACCATTTGGAGCTATGGGTCTGTATATAGGAAAAATTACTCAAACTATCATTCCATAAGCAATTTCAACCAAAACTAGTTCAACCAAAATAATTTTATACATTTTTGCAGCTACCTGACGTAAATAATTGTTGAGAGATGTAGGCCCCGCCTATTTAACTAGACTACAATTAGGAGAGTAGTTAGTATTGCACTATACTATAGTTAGTAGTTGATTTAGTTACAACTAACACTTGTATAAATAGTAGCTTAATGCTTTGATCAATGTAACAATGATATTTGTCTGCTCAATGGAGTAACTGCTTTCTTCTTCTTCCTCTCATTTCTTCTCCTCTCACCGCCATAGTTGAAGCTTCGTGACATGGTATCAGAGCTCGATTAAACGAGTGTTAGCTCAGTTGCGACAGGTCTAATTGAGCCAATTACCTAAGTCAATTTGATCAATTGAGCCAATTCTCAATCTGAATCTCACTCCTCGCAAGCTAGGGTATGGAGATTTGTTCGATTGAGCCTCAATTGACTGTCAATAGCTGCACTTCTCTTCAATTTCAGAATTCTCAAAGCTTTTTCTTCAATTTCTGCAACAATGCCGGCTAATGAAGAAGTTGTTGATAATCAGACCTCCGCACAATCAGTTAACCAAGTCGATCATCATCATCCTCTGTACATTCACTCATCCGATACACAAGGTTCTGTTCTCATCTCTATTCAGCTACAAGGTTCTGAAAACTACTCTATTTAGAGTAGATCTTTGAAAATTGTGTTGCATGGTAAAAACAAATTAGGTTTTGTCTTAGGCACCTGCAAACAAAGTAACTATAATGTTAGTCTTCATGAGCTATGGGATAGGTGCAATGCAATAGTGTTAGCACGGTTATGAATACTGTGGCACCAAAACATGATTAGTACTGTCATTTATGCCTCCGATGCCTATACTGTTTGGGAAGATCTAAGGGAACGATTTGACAAAGTAAATGCATCTAGAGCAGTTTATCTACATAAGAAAATTGCTACCTTAATACAAGGAGTATCCTTTATGTCTGTGTATTTCTCTCGATTGAGGGAACTCGGGGATGAGTATGAAACACTCATTCCTCCACCTTCATGTGGTTGTCCTGAGTCAAAGAAGCATGTAGAATACTATCAGCTTCAAAAGATTTATCAGTTTCTCATAGGCCTCAATGACTCCTATGAGAATGCCAAAAACCAGGTGCTAATGACTCGACCATTACCTAATCTAAACCAAGCCTATGCCATGATAATCAATGTAGAAAGCCAAAGGATCACCGGAAAAAATGTGTATGATTCTAATAATAACAATAAAACTGCTGCTATGATGAGTAATAGAGCTCAGAATGGTGGCCAGAATGGAGGATCTAACAATTCTGGAGGTTATACCAACATTGGCTACTCTAGAGGTGACAAACCTAAGAATTTCTTCAACGAATCAATAATTTAGTGTGACTATTGTAAGTGTAAAGGCCATACAAAGGAAAACTATTTCAAACTCCATGGATATCCTTGTGATTTCAAGAAGAGGAGGAGGTTTCAATGCTTAAGCGAACAATATGAACAACAATATGAATCATATTGAGAACAACTATGGGAATCTGCCCTCAGAAACACAAGGCAACCAGCTGAACTGCGTTACTCCAGAGCAATACCAGCAAATCCTGCAGATGTTGAACAAGGGCAAAGATACTGAACCTGTTGCTAACTCAGTTACTACAGGGATAGTAGGTATACTACATGCTTTTATGTCTACTTTGGTGGATCATAATTGGATAGCAGACACAGGAGCATCTAATCACATGGTGCATAGTTTAAACCTATTAGACTCATATGAGGAAGTATCAAAGAATGATAAAAATAAAGTCCAATTACCTACTGGAGAACAAGCTTCTATTACACATACTGGAATCTCTTCTTTCTTCAAAAATAAGAAAATTCAAAATATATTTTTCATTCCAGATTTCAAGTATAACTTACTCTCAGTGTCTAAAATCACAAAAGAATTAAGGTATGTAGTGGAATTCTTTCCTAACTTTTGTGTCTTTCAGGAACTCTTCAGTGGGAAGGTACTGGGGATTGGTAGAGAAGAACTTGGACTCTACATCTTCAAGGCTGCAAACAGACAAACTCTTGAATATCATATATCTCCAAGTGTAAATACCATAGTTAGCACAAATAAAACTGTTAGCCTGAATAATACAAGTCCATGTAATGATTTCTCTCTATGGCATAGGAGGCTAGGACATGGTCCTCTAAAGGTACTGAAATCTTCATGAGTTACATCTAACTGATCATCAGTATTGTACTGTATGTCCTATTGCAAAGCAATCAAGGCAACCTTTTCCTCTTAGAACCACTTGTTCTACTTCTATTTTTGATCTTGTTCATGCAGATGTTTGGAGTCCATATAGACTACCAACTCATGACAGCAAAAGATATTTTTTAACCCTGGTGGATCATTTCTCTAAGTATATTTGGATTTTTCTTCTAACTACTAAGGCAGATACTATTGTAGTTTTAAATAACTTTCTTACAATGGTGTCAAATCAATTTAAAACTACAGTTAAGTGCCTCAGAATTGACAATGGTACTGAATTTGTGAATGATTAACTCCATTATTTGTTGCAAAGTCTAGGAATTTTTCATCAAAGTTCTTGTGTTTATATACCCCAACAAAATGGAGTGGTGGAGAGAAGGCATATGACTATATTAGATATGGCTAGAGCTCTCAGATTTCAACCCTTTATACCTCTGAGATTTTGGGGTGAGTGTATGTCTACAACAATGTACCTACTGAATAGATTACCTACTAGACTTCTTCAAGGCAAGTCTCCATTTGAAGATCTATTTGGAATATACCTTCCATATAACATCTTAGAGTGTTTAGTAGCTTATGTTATGCCACAAAAGTGCAGAAAGGGGATAAGTTTAGTCTTAGGGCAATTCCAGCAGTCCATATGGGATATTCATCTTCTCAAAAGGGCTACATTCTCTATGGTTTACATTTCAAGGGCTTCTTTGTTAGTAGAGATGTTGTCTTTAAGGAAGACATTTTCCCTTTTAAGCATATGCAACTTGGAACCTCTCTTTTATTTCCTATATTAGAGTTCACAGATGCACCAATTAAAAAGAGTACTTACCAACCTGTATCTGTTTCAGATTTGCCTACTTCTGGTGTTCAACAAATGCCTTCTCCTTCTAGTCTTCCCTATGGTACTCATTCTAAACCAAGCCCTTCTATTCCACCTTCTGCACCCTCAGTCTCTCCTGAAGGTCTCAGAAGATCTTCTAGGCCTTCTAAACCTCCTATATGGCTAACTGATTATGTAGTATAGCCCAAGAAATCCACTTGGCATTATCCTGTATCACAGCATGTCTCTTACAATCAACTGTCTTTAAACTACAGGGCTTCTCTTGCTGCATATTCAGCTATTATTGAACCTAGAACATTCAAAGAAGCAAGTGCTTATCCAAAGTGGATTGAAGCTATGCAAGCTAAGATTTCAGCATTGCAAGACAATAACACCTGGTCCTTGTTTGATCTGCCTCAAGGGAAAGTTCCTATAGGATGCAAGTGGGTCTTCAAGGTTAAGTATAAGTCTAATGGAGAAGTGGAAAGATATAAAGCTAGACTAGTAGCCAAAGGTTACAGTCAACAAGAAGGCCTAGATTATACAGAAACATTCTCTCATGTGGCCAAGATGGTCACAGTGAGGGCTGTAGTTGCATTAGCTGTTGCATCTAGTTGGTACATTTTCATATGGATGTTCATAATGTATTCCTTCAGGGTGACCTTTTAGAATAGGTCTACATACAAGTTCTTGATGGCTTTTCAAGCCAGAGGGAGAATCAAAAGGTGTGCAAGCTACATAAGTTTTTGTATGGATTGAAGAAAACACCTAGGCAATGGAATTTTAAGCTAACAGAGGCACTCCTAGACATGGATTTTTCTCAAAGCCAGTATAATTATTCCCTGTTCACCAAAAGAATAGGAGCTGATCTTGTGTTGTCCTAGTTTATGTTGATGATTTGTTGGTAACTGTTAGCAACTTACTTCTCATCCAGCAGGTCATAAAAGATTTGTAGGAGAAGTTCATAATGAAGGATCTAGGGGAGCTAAAATATTTCCTTGGCATTGAGTTCTCAAGGTTTGAGAAAGGTATCCTAATGTGTCAAAGGAAATATGCCCTAGAATTGGTATCCGAACTTGTCTTAGCAGGAGGAAAACCAGCCTCTACACATCTTGAGTTTAATCAAAAACTCACCTTTGTTAAATTTGATCAAATAGTAAAAGATAGTGACTCTGAAGATGTGCAACTTAAAGAGAAAGGAAATTATCAAAGGCTAGTTGGGAGGCTTTCGTACCTAATAATGACAAGGCCAGATATAGCCTTTGTTATTCAGGTACTCAGCCAGTATATGCATGCACCTAAGACTTTTCACATGAAAGTTGCTAGAAGAGTCGTGAAATACATCAAGTCTACACCTGGACTTGGTTTGTTCATGCCAACTGGAAGCTGCAATAAACTAATAGTCTATTGTGATTCGGATTGGGGAGCTTGTGTTGAGTCTAGGAGGTCAATCATAGGGTATGTGGTTAAATTTGGAGATGTAGTGATTTTCTGGAAGTTAAAGAAACAAGGGACAATATCTAGAAGCTCAACTGAGGCAGAGTTCAGAAGCATGACAACCACAGTAGCTGAAATTATGTGGTTGTTTGGACTTTTCAAGGAGTTATTAGGAGTGGATATTGCTCTGCATGTGCCTCTACACTATGACAGCAAGGCAGCAATCCAGATTGCTGCATATTTATTTTTTCCTAAACGGACTAAACACATAGATATTGACTGTCATTTTGTAAGAGAAAAACTTGTACAAGGTCTTATTCAAACTCAGCATGTTGGTACAACAGAATAGATAGCAGATGAGCTGACAAAGGCTTTGTGCAAACCACATCATGGATACTTACTAAGCAAGCTGGGAATGAGGAATGCATTTCATCCCTCAGCTTGAGGGGGAGTGTTGAGAGATGTAGGCCCCACCTATTTAACTGGACTACATTTAGGAAAGTAGTTAGTATTACACTATACTATAGTTAGTAGTTGAGTTAGTTATAACTAACACTTGTATAAATAGTAGCTTAATACTTTGATCAATGTTGTAAGCACGTGATTTTTGCCTCACGGACAATCACTCCAAAAGAAAACAAAAATAGTGACCAGTGACCTCGCTGTACAAATTTTCAATTTTTCATGACCTGTACTGCTAGTCATTTGTGGTTCGTCCCAAGTTGCATTTGATCTTATCAATCAAAATACAAAGTATGTCTGTCATGGTAATCAAACCGTAATTCGGTCATTGAAAGAAAATTCAAAAAATATATATATGCATCGTTCGTTCTAGGTTGTGATTTAACTTACTTAAACATTTTAATTTGGTGTGATAATTGTGTTGAAGTGTTACATTGTTGTTTGTTTTAATTTCATTTGTTTTATTATTTATTTTGTTATTTCATTTTTGTTTTAAAATAAGAGAACAAAGAAAAGAGTGATTTGGGCCAAAGAAATGAAATAAAAAATAGGCCCAAAACCGGCACACAAGGACCCAGTCCAAGTCAGGCCTGCCCAAACACTGATNCATTTAAAGATTCGAGTCGAACTCTGACCTATACCAAACCTCACCATCTTCATACCAGACACTCCCCTG